CTAGTCCACTCCTTCACACCTAACAAGCAACAATTGACTGGTCGTGGCAAAGGAGGAAATGGTTTGGTAAAGGAGGTGCCAAACGTCATCGCAAAGTTCTTCGAGATAACCGCCATCGGTCGTCTGGCTCGCCGTATCTCCGGTCTGCTCTACGAGGTGTGCTGAAGTTGTTCCTGAAAAATGAGATCCGTGATGCTGTCACCTACACTAAACACGCCAAGCGTAAGTGGCCATGGATGTCCTCTTCTATAAAACGACCCTTTTCAGGGCCATCAAGCATACATCAGTATAGAGTTGAAATAGAATTTATCTGTGGTTGTTTGTCCATATTCAGAACCACAGGCCCCCAACGACCACACAAAATGCTCTCCAGAGTTGTAATCTTGTAACCAAACTTGGAAGCAGGGGTGCAAGTGATTTTGATTGATTATCTTAATCAACTTTCTCTTTGAAAAAAATTACTACAAATTTGGTACGCCTACAATTCAAAAACGGAAAGAGTTGAGATAATAGATAATTGATCAATTAAAAGAACTAAATGCTCTTCACATTTATTCCGTCCACTAGCGGTCCTAAATCAAGCTTCCGTTCGTGCCTCTAGGCACAGTCTCTTCTACTTTTTCTTGAAATGAAACATACGCTCTACAAAATGCGGCTGATTTCAAGATCTCGATAATAGAGCAGCCAGGGGGTAATCAACTCTGCACACTGTGCCGAAACACAGCATGGCACACTTTGACAAGTAGGACACAAACAATATAATTTAAAACAGCCTCACTGTTGAGTCTTGACGTTTTGCCAATCGTTGTTAAGATTGAGTACAGCGCCGAAATTGCCAATGCATTATGAGTTCACATCCTAATGGCATAGTATAGTATAGCATGAACCAGGTTGCACATTTTCGTAGGTGGTACGAGCTCCAAACTGTTGTTAAGAAGGAGACCTACCGTCATCCGTTGTTGTTAGATAGTAATTTGTGATTAACTACTACCTCTTAGATAAAGGATGTTTCTCCCTCCAACAGACCAGAGCTGTCATGGTCACGTCCTTGCATCTAGTGGGGAAAGGGGACGAATGTTAGTCCGACACTTACTTAAGAGAGATGCAGATAACTCTACGACCCCTCATAAGTGTCACGGGAAGGGTGGTTTTTTGTTAGTAGGGAGGGTAAGCCATAGGATACGGTCAACCGGCGTTGCTGGTAATCGTTATATCAAGCATTTATGTGGTGTTTACACTTAGGCTAGTTCACTAGCGCTAATGAGCTCGCTGCTAGCAAAAACGCTCAACAGCATAATTTAAACAGGGCATCAGCGTCTACCAGCATGACATTTCAGGAGCAACTGAAATTCGTGCTTGTTGGCGAGTACACTAGCGCGAGTAAATCCGCACAGATGTAAACACCCCATTAATAAATAGAAGCTGTAAGCAGTTTATCTGTCCGTCTAAACATATTATTCAAAACAGTCTTCAGATTTTGGAATTAAGAAACGTTATCAGCTCGATCCTGTTGCTCTTTTGCGCCTGAAAATGTTTGTTGATCCTAAACATATGCACAATTCATTCTGATCGATAGGAGGTTCTCATGTGTAAAAGGTTATTAATAGTATGTGGAATCGTAGATTAGAATGAAGATTCGCCCTTGGCCTAACTCCCACTGTCTGGCAGTGGCATTATGGATAAAATCTGCCTGCAATAATTTCTTATCAATGCAAGAAGCTTGAACCCGGGAGTTGGAAGGTGACAGCTCTACCGCAGCTACAGTAGCCCATTTCAAGAACGCAAGCATTCCGAAACTATTTTCACACATGATAAGCTCCGATCCAATACATTATCGATGCAAATATAAACCATTGATAATGTACTGAAACTTTCAATCAAGCAGTAGTACAATACTTGATTGACGCGTATTTAGTAAGTTTTGAAATGATCGTCTTGAATTAGATGGATATTTCCTATCGAGGACAGAGGAACGAAAAGGTAAATAAACTTAGGTGAGCGTAATTACGCGTAGTTTAGAACAGTCGGCACCACATGTAATGGATAAGAATTTTAAATTTTTCACTTAATGCACTTTTCAACATCACTTCTGTACTTTCAAATTAACACTTTTTAAAAATGAATTTGTAAATTTATAATATTTTCACTAGAACGAAAACGACGCAGCAAAACAAAAACACGTCATTTTTGCAGCGCGGCCTACTTCCACATTATGAGTTCACATCCAAATGAGCTCAAGTTTTGGAAAAATCAACAGAACCTGATTTGAAATTGATTAAACTTGGTGGACCAAAATCGATATTTTGAACTACTCTAATGTTTACATCACCAGTAATATTCAGATTTTTTCTGTGCAGCGAATCACGTAGACAATTACACAGCGAATTACGTAGACAACTAATTTCTGATAGGTTTTCAGCTCAAACATAACGATAAATGGGCCTCACCACTTTTCTATCCGACCTAACCCAAAAATTCACTGGACTAACTGGACTACAGGGACAAAACAACCATCCTGATATTGTTTAATAAAATTAAACAAATTCTTCGTCTGCACAATACTATCCCGAAAATTAAGGACATGGCAATTTTTTCAACTTCAGTTTTTAAGTCATATCGGAACGGGTTGAGCTTTCAAAATACCAGACCCACGATGATATCTTTCATTAAAGGTTTGAATTCGCGTCCTTAAATGTGGATTTGAGCATTTTCATCGAGACTTTAATTAATAAGAAGGGTCAGATCTCACTACAGGTGGCAAAAATTCTGGTTATTCGATAGAATTCCAATATGATCGAATTAATTATGGCCCCCAACAATACCACCAAAAGATGATCTATGGATCTAGAGATTGGGCCCATCGATTGAGATCTCCTGCCTGACAATTTTTCGTAGACAAATAATAACACCAATAATTCCAGATCCATTTTTGTTGAAATTGGTGAAAAGATGAGATCAAGGCGTTAGAAGCTGTAAAAGTTTTGTCTTGACATCATTGCTAGACAATTGACCAAATTCTTTGGCATATGTGGTTTGAAAGCTGTGACTGATTTAGTTTAGTATCAATTTTGTTGGAAATTTTGTATGATTCTTAATCGTTCGAAGCTGTGACGAATTTAGATTTAATACGTATCAATTTTCTTTGATAAAAGTTTTTATTCGGTTCAATAAGAAGTGGTGAACGATTAAGTTATGGTTTAAAATATCAGTTTAGTACAAAGTTATTCAATTTAGTTTGAAGTTCTGACATTTTTGTTTGAAGTTGTGTTAAACAATTTTTAAAATGACCAATGTTACTATTGTGATCAGCTGTATGGATTGGAGGCCAATAAGATTTAAAAAAATCTAGTGGCGCTATTTCATTGTCAGTCAATTGAACAATTTTAAAGTAGTTTTTAGTTCAATTGTTTCATGACAATCCAAAATACGCTAAATACATTACTAGAATGATTAAGCAAATGTTTATATCATCAGCAAACATGGATTAAATTTGTTTATGAAATCTATTTCCATACAGCAAGTATTAGAATCAGTGGTCAGGAATCTCTTTAAAAATATCCAAATTTCTATAAAAAAAAACAATCAATTAATTTATTAATCATTCCCCATGGAATTTTTTAAAATACTTATTCAACCGAAATACGTTGAAGTAAATTTTTAATGTAATTTGTTTGAATTGGAGTCGGAGTCAAGGAGTCAGAGTCGGAGATACTTATTTTAAAATCAGAGGAGTCGGTCGATTTAGATACAACTCCATCGGTTCTATGTCGTATTATTGTAAACAGACTTTTTTTTTCATTTTCCAATGATAATGTTTTTAAGTGACATCAGAAATACTATCGTCAGGTGATAATTCATCAAATTTCAGAGCATCGATTGGCCAAATTTGCGTTCTCAAGGACTTAGTTATTATAGTTATTATAGGGGGAAAGATGATAATAGGTAAATGTATTGCCGAGGCCATCATTTACCTTACATATAAGAAACCTTTAAACTTGCATTTAGTCATGCCTCGCTCTGAACATTATGAAAGTTTGAGTGGTTTATATGACTGTCAAACAGAATGCAATTAATTTGCCATAAGATCGTTTAACTCATCATTTATCATTGCATCGATAAAAGACAACACATTCATCAATAATTGGTAAAATTTCTAATACGAGCATGTGTTCTGTTACGAAACATAAAAAGTGAATTTCTATTTTAAACCCAACTCAACGGTCATTTCACGCACCCAATTTCGCCCTTTTAATCCTTCCACTAGTGCTCCACCATTAAGCGTCCAATTACACACAGATTAATAAATTCATTCCGCACCGACTCTAATAACTTCCGAATAATTCATTCGCAGCCGAAAGCAGGCTGGTAGCAAACGAACGAAATTTCATTATACAACCGCAGAGTGCCCCAAACAAACGTAAACAACAAACATCATGGACCTGCGATCTCGGACTCGTACCGGTGCGAATCACATTTCTCAATCGAACTAGGTGAATCTGAAGCTCCTTCCTATAATTGCCTTTGTAGTCCGTCACCTGGACGCGCAGTTTGCTCACTTAAAATATTCGTAAACACGGTGGCCATCATAATTTTGGGTGGAGTGATTTATGCACACACGCCGCCAGATTTCACCAATAAAAGACCTTGACTAACGGTTATCTCAAGTCCCGGGTAATGCACCTCAACTGTTACCGCACATTAGGTTTTGTCACGATCGCACTTCTTTCCTAACCTTCCAGGAGAAATCTGTCACTCAAGAGTTCGATTTTCCTAGTCCGTGCGCTAACGTGAAGAGTCAATCACTCGTAACAGAAATCCGGGATTGCATAATGGTCACACTACGGCGTTCATCGGTTCAACTGTCTTTCTACATGTGCACCAATATATTCGCCATCAAACACATTTTTTTTCACATGGCTCTTCAAATTGGATTTGATAATAATTCGTGTGGATAAATTAAGAAAATTGCATCGAAAGAAAGGAAAACTGCATTCACTAACCACAAGATTCCATCGGGGCTTCATGATTCCCGAAGCTAGGAGATTTCGGTTCGCCGTAGACACCAGGGACACGGATCCTCTCGGAGGAAATTTTTGACACTGACTGACAATTGTTTACATCCGCTACTATTTAATATATGGAACGAGCCATCGACTCTTACCACCTCTAACAGAATCGCAAGCCGCCCAACCGACGAAAGCTTTTCGACGAAAGTGAGAGCGCGAGAGTTATGTTTGGGGTGGCTTTAAAGCGCTCGGCGCCCGCGTTGTGCTGGATGTGTGTGGGTCGAGCGAGAGCTTTCACTAGTTAAGGCCACGGAGCTGCAGGGCAGCCCAACCGTAGGCTCACGTTACCTTCTTTTCTCCGGCTCTCTCTCTCTCTAGAGCGAGTTTGGCCTACCACCTAGTCTCAGGTGCGTTGCTGGGAGAAGAAACTATGTTACGAATGTCGTTCACACGTGAGATGGACAAAAACAAGCGCGAAACAAATATACAAACGATACCGTTAACGATGAAACCGGTTTCTCGATTACCCGGCTAAAGATGATGGTGCGAATAAAACAGGGTTGTAGCTCCCAGCTGGTGCTTGGTTAATTTAAACTGTAACATGCAATTATTCTGAGGTCTTCCCATTGCTTTAGGGGTTGTTAATTAACTACGTAGACAGGTTTTTGGGATTCTGAACCCTCCCCTGCGTAGACAATTGTCCATACAAATTTTTTTAAATTTGTATGGGCCGTGGATAATTTCCAACACCCTCCCTCCTCCTAAACTGTCTACGTAATTTATAGACAGCCCCTTACCGGTAAAGGTGCAGCATACTATTCCGGAGGTGGCGTGTTTCATTCCAGGTCTGATTTTGAAATTTTTCGGATTGGAATATTTTTCAGCTTCTTCCAGAATCTCAAAACGATTTTATGTTCGAGATCTTACTGTACGAGAACCTTAAACATATTTGCTTATCTGATACAGTATCGGTCAAAAGTATATAAATTCGCTATTTTTTTTCTGACCGAAAAAGTTCAAAGAGCTGTAACTTTTTCGAATGTACATGCAACTTTCTCAAAAGGGGGAGGTAGCTCATCGATTCTACCGGTTCACCTCCTAGCATCGTGCTATAAGGTACCAGGCGATAACCAGGGTAGTTGATCGATAGCTCGATGACGTCATTTCGTTGACGTCTGCAATGGGCAATTCTCATAGCAGGCGTTGACGATGGGACGTTGTCGAGTTGTTGAATAGCAACTATCGTGGTAACTCACCGATTACCTGTCGATCTGCCAAATTTGGAAAGACGTCTGCATTGAATTGTCTCATATAATAATATTCCGCCCGCTATATCACAAGAAATTGCGAGTAGCTGAGTGGAATGGAGATAAGTTAAGCATTGGGTACAGGACCAAGTCTCCCCTGGGTGGTGCGAGAAGATGAGCGCAATAGAATCATCAAGTTCCCATAAGGCACGGAATGAGACTATTGCATGGCTGGGTAGTCAAAGTCTTCTATTCGTTAGTCATTTCAGGTGGATTAGAACAGGTTTAGGTTTAGGGTGGGCGTTGGCCAGATTTGGATTTTTCAGATATAATCCTTAATAGGACCTAGATTATTTAATACACTAGTAACCTCAACTTCTGTCACAATGTTTCATTGTGACTAATCAACACTCAATGGGTAAAATATCAAATTTGCGGTAAATTTGAAAAAAGGGAACTTGGAGTGTAGAGCGCACTACCCACTGGACGATTCTGAAGCCTGACCAAGTGAGTGGGTTACGGGTTTATTTGATTGTACGTCATTTCCAAGTTATATATAGATACATTCATACCATTGGCATTTTGTATTTGAGATAAGACAGAGACAGGATGCGGAGGGCCCACTTAGGGGAGCGTAACCCATGTTATGGCTTCTATTTATTAAACAGTTCAGATAGGCTGGAAATGATAGGTTCATGGTGAGAAAATGTAACATATGGTGCCCGTTCACTGATAAAAATTAGATTCAAATCGTCAGGCCCTGCCCTGTAACAAGGGGATTGACGATGATTTGTCAAGTTTCATTTTGCATTTGCATATAATTGTAAGTATAGGTTTGCTTTTGTAATTGTAAGATAGATAGTTTGGCTCAATTGAAACATTGAGTTCCCAGACAACCAGAAGTCGTATAACAATGTACAGACAGTATCGTAAATTGCTACAGTATAAGTCAAAATCGCATATAAGAATGGCATACCTCGCATAATGTTTAAGTTAAATCGTATAGAATGCAAATTTCCGACCTATATGCGATGACTTATTTTTCCGTCGTACTGTATCACAAATTAAATCAAATTACATCGTAAGACTTTTCAAACTGAATTTGTTATTACAGATTAAATCGTATATGATGTTAAATCAACTCGTTTAAAATTAAATTAAAATATGCACGTATACGGCCTCCACTTTTGTACGTACAAGCCATTTGTTTGCATTCTATACGAATTGTTTGTTTGTATATATGTTTATATATCACGAAAACAATTCTGAATATACGTGCATTCTGGTTGTCTGGGTTGTATAAACTTGACGAATCATACCTCGAAAATAGTAGTAGTTACAGTGCCGCATTATCTAACAACCATTGCCTGCAACTAATGTTGGGGCTGCAGGGCTGATCCCGAAACTAACGCTCATTCATTGCACTTTGAGTCATAAAGTAGTTTTATTTATTTTCCTACTAATCTATCTACACAGTTAATTTTTTCTACCGAGCTCGGCTGTGCGGGTCTCAGTGGGGAGGGGGTTTCGCTGAGATCTCGGCGGGAGTGACATTTGATTGCTGAGTCTCGGATAATGCCTTTTTTAATAATCTGCCTACGTTTCTTTTCTTTGTTATCTACTTTATCCCTTTTTTATTTTTCTGCGCTTCTTTCCTCTTCTCTTCTTTTGTTTTGTTTGTTTACATATAACTAATACTAATACCTCCTTGTTTTCTCTCTAATTTGTCTACTATGTCCCACCATCACGATGAGAGATGAGCTACATGGTACACGCTCATATACACTCCCAAAATAGTATGCCGCAAGTAAGTATATCACAGAGGCAACTAAAGATTCAGAAACAAAAACCGATAACACTGAAGATAATGAGCTGTGGTGATTTATATGACTATATAGTATTATTTATTTATACTAACCTAAACACAACGTGGGGTGACTCTAATCCAAACGATCACTAACCAAAATAATAGACTTATCTTTTTTCAGCAGGTGTAATTTCGTTTAGTGCTGTTTCTCTCTTTTCAGCAAAACAACAACAAAAAAACCTCTATAACTCTTCTCCATTCTCCTTTTAATCTCCTACTATCCCCTATAAATGTATCGGAAACTAGTGGGACTGTCTGTGCAAACTGAAACAGGCCTGCTAGTGGAAGAAGGTCGTTATGTTATACGGTCTAGCATAGGCCTACGGCCAGGTTTCAGTAGGTACACACTCGCTTAACGGCAGATTGGTTTACAGTGGTCGACCAGGGTGTGTGCTGATAAATTACAAAATTACAATTACATCATTATTTCATACATCAGCTTGAATTACGTTGATCGATATTACATTTTTTTTGCTGTGCACTACACCACCGGAGCCAGCAAAGTTCAACAATCCATCGTTGCTTATGCCTTTGTTGTCGTTTGGAACCAGTTTTGCGAGTAACTTTTGAATAGGGCCTGTTTATAGCCTGAACAATACGTAAAATACGTGAAAGTGGAACTTAATGAAGGCCTAAGTACTTTTTCGTAGTTTTTAGTTTTCGGATTTGAAAGATCGTCGATTACAAAGGCCTGCTTACTGAGCAGAAAAACGCGGTCCCAGGTCCTTACATATCAAGGAGATTTATGGTAAAATCGCTTGTGTATCGTGTATTTTGCTGAACTCGTTGTTGTCGTTGGTTCCGGGTTTGAATGGATACAAAAATTTGAGCAACAATATTATGTGATATGAGGGGCTCGGTGGCTTTAGAGCAACCGTTTTTGCTTACTGAGCAGAACATCATGAGTCTAATCTCAGGCCCATCCACATTCAAGATTCGTCAATCGTTTTATTTGTTAATATGACTACATGGTAATAACAGCAACTCATTAAAAAGGTGCTCGTCTGCCTAGTGGCAAACATTTTTGCTTACTGAGCAGAAAACCGTGGGTTTAGTCCCAAGCTCCTTCGCGTTATATGATCGTTAGGACATCAATTCAGCTTATCGTTTACCAAATTAACCCTGCTGCAAACCCAACCCTCTTATCCAACATCCCAGTGATTCCTCGTGGAAGTGCAGAGGTGTTCTCGGCTTCCATCAAAGCGAGTGTCATGTCAACACAATCCTTCCCATTCCTTTCTTGACCTGTGTTCGGGCGCGGCCAGCGCTGGTATTGCCTAATTTAAGATCACCAGTTTTTACACATTGAGGATGATTGCTAGCCCCAAGCATCGTCTATTGGTTCTCTGTGTAATTACAGCTGATCTGGCAATAACAGAGTAGCAACCGTGGGCGGTCAATCAAGCTCAAACTCAAGCTCAAGCTGTACATGCAACTTCCTCAAATCGTGGCTGCTGGTTGGTAAAGTTTGAAAAACTTATCGGTATAATTTTGAATTTGATAGACGGAATTTATATGAAGTTTGGCTAATTTTAGTAAAATGCCTTTTTTTGGTATGTATCTTTTTTAAAGTGCAATTTCTTGACAATGGCAAACAGTTTAATTTTTTGACGGGTTTTTTCTTTCAAATGTGACTACAATTAAGCAACATTTTAGCTAATTTCGTTTACTGCTATACATTAAGAAATTGCAGTTTCTTAAAAAATATACTAAAAAGAGGTGTTTAACTACAGTTTTAATACAGATTCTGCCAATCAAACTGCAAACTAAACCAATAAGTCTTGGATACTTAACCAACCAGCAGCCGGTTTTCCAAAGTTTTCTGAAAATTTCATGTAATTTTACATCCGGAAAAGTTGAATATCTTTGAATTCTTCAGAAGAGAAACATAAATTTACGAGGTGATGTACTTTTGTCCGGTACTGTACCTGGAAAATTATTCCAAATCACAGTTGTTTTTTTTCTTCGTGACTGATTTTGAAAATTTAAAGCTGAACA